AACTCAATTCTAACAGTTTTCAGAAGTGGTATTCCCCCTGCTTTTATCTTGAATTTTGAAAAAGAAATTCTATTACTTTCGGTTCAAATAGTTATTTATAAAGTGTAATAACCCCCCCCACCCCCCCCACCCCCCCCCCCGCCCCACCACCCCAGAACTAGTTGTCTCTAAACTTATTCCCACGACACTGAGATGTACTATTTTTGAGGCTCCCAAGTCTGGGAGCAACACCACATGTGTGAGCTGCCATGAGCCGCATCTGCCGCAGCCTTGGAAGGCTGAGCTTGGAGGCTCTGCAGAGCTCGCCCAGCTCTCCTGCCAGCCAGAACCTCTCCTTGTTTCCAAAGGAAATTCTGGAATCACGACAACACAGAGGTGCAGACTCCTGTTCACCGCAGGGAGGTGGCGACTCTGTAGCCTGATGACCGTTAGACTGAAATGGCAACGGTGTTCACCTTTCCCTGGGGTCAGAAACAGCTCCCTTTTCTGGGGTGGGCGGGTGAAGCTGTGTTTAGAAGGTCCCGCCTTGTCTAGAGGAGTCTTCCTGAGGAGAAGGACTGTTGCTCTTGCTTGAATAGGCACAAGGCACCCAGACTTTGGCCCAAGGAAGAAGCAGGTTCTTTGAAAGAGCACGAAAGATTGGTGCGGGGAAGATTAAAAGTAAAAGAGTGAGTTAGTGATGACTCACAGGGAAAGAGGGGAGAAGACAAAGTCTGTTTAAGCCATGGATTTTTGAGGTAGAGAGGCAGTGAGTCTAAGTTGCTCACCTAACCTAGTATTTATTCAAATGCTACGCACAGCATGAGAACGGATGAATGGCTGTCAGCAAGATGGGGAAATCTCCTTGCAGTTTAATTTGAAGGCTTTTAATTTTTACTTCTATTTGATGGCAGAAGTAAAGATGTCTTAGAATAACAGAGCAAAAATGCACCTTTGGTCTGACAATCACATTTGTAAGTCAAAGGCAAAACGATAGTTTCCCATTTGCTTTTCCCCATGGTTGGCATACAAGTCCTAATATGTTAGGATGAGGCTGCTGAGAATAAGACACATGGAGAGAGTTAGTTCATTATGACCAGCTGGACATTTCTTATGTTAGGATGGGTCCTTCCAGAACAAAGTCAGACATCAACACGGTCTGGCCCAGTGGATCCCAAGAGCTGACAGTAGGGTAGTCTGCCCGAGACAGGCTATTAGAGAGGCATCGTCCGTAGAGAGTTTAGGAACACTAATAAGACAAGCTGAACGTCGACTGGCTTTATACTATTAACATGACCGGTGATTCTGAGCATCTTCAGGGCTCAAACACCCCTCTCTAAAGGGGTCATCAGCTCTCTCGGTCCCCTCACCTCCCACATGGCAGATCTTATTGTCTGCCAGCCCAAAAGGGACAGATGGAGAAGGTGGCCCTGGCTTCCCTGTATATGGGGTTCTAAAATGATTTGACATGGAGGGTAAGGAAGTTCCCTCAGATTTTGTCTACTACTGTCACCAAGTTGCTGCCGTGGAATGATGATGGAACTCACACCTGCAGAACACTTACTGCGTACCCAGCCGTGTCTCCACCATCCTCCCTCAGGAAGCTTCCAGTCTAGTGAAAGAGGCAAACATCCCACCAGCAGAAGGTGCACCAGTGCCTCGACCAAGAGAGGGCAGAGTGGAAACATGGGATTTGGTTCGAGAGGCCCAGGAAGTGTCTAGTAGTTCTTCTAAGATAATTCATTATACCAGAAACTAATAAACTAAACTAGTCAAGTCACTTCTTGAATCTTTAGGGTGAGACCCACCTCAGGGGCCACATCCTATCTCCTCCTAGTGTTGCGAGCAGGTCAATCCGGTGTGGTTAGAGAATGTTCTGAAGACTCTGCCAAGACCCTTCTCCTGATACCAGCCCCACCTGAACATCACCATCACCTGGGAGCTTTTTATTTAAAAACAAAAACAAAAACACCTACAAAAACACTCTGGACCAATTAAGTCAGGATCTTGGAAAGGTGAGGGGAGGTCAGGGACCAACATGTTAGAAAAACAATCAATCCAGATGATCCTAACATGCAGCCAGTATAAAGAACTACTGCCATACACACAAGAGATCAGTTTACTTTAGCCAGGTGAGAATAATAGAACATTTTACCATAAAAATCTTCAGGATGCACAGGGAGCCACTTTGGAGACAGGTGTGTGAGTGTGTGCATGCGCACACCCATGTGGGGTGGTCGTGCCTGTCTCCCTGCACGCCATGCGCTTTCCATCTCTGGCACGTGGTGGAAACATGTCCAGCGGCGTTCCCTGGGCCCTGGAGTCAGGTTGATTGTCAGAGGCAGAGCATGCCCAGGGCCCTGGGAGTTTGCTGCAGAGACAGATACAAGTCTCAATAAAGAAGCAAGTGTCCAGCGTTCTGTCTCCACTTCCAACCACCGCATACCCCCTTTCCTGTCTCTTCCGCTGCTGCTTTCCTTAACCTCCTGATCATGAGGCTTTATATGAAACCCATAGCCTTTTTGAGGAAGCACATGCAAGCCTTAGATTTGTTTTCTTCCTTTAAAACACATAAAAAGCCCTGTAAGCACCTTACATATAAGCAGAACGAATGTATTTTCCCCACTAATGTTGAAAATATCCCCAGGCATCTGGTGTGTATGAATGTGTATAGATAGTACATGCATAATAAACATATTCCACCTTATGAATATTTATACACAAGTTACATATATATTGAGTGTAGACGTATATATGTAAATAGTAGCCCTTGTAAACTATCTGCAAAGTGTGTTTCCAAGCATATGTATTCCAGTGCATCAGGAATATAATACACCTCCCACCAAACTTAGCATATTTTGAGGTGGCATTTTCTACAGAGTTGTTTATGGTAGGGTCTAGTTACAATCCTTGTATGGTTCCCCCCCCCCCCCCCCCCATCACCTAAATGTTAAGTATCGACTAAAAATAAGGCACTGGGCATGGTAGAGTAAGAAAGATAAGAAAGATGCCCTTGCCTTCGAAAGACCTGTGCCTCACAGAGTGGCTTACATTTCAGCTATGAGGAATCTGACATTGTCGTGCCCATCAGCATTTTACTGCCTTCTTACACCTGCCTTTGTGTATACACTCCACATTAACACAAGCCCCCTTTAAGGCGATGTGAAATCCTCATGGAGCTGCGAACTACCGGTAGTACCAATGCAGAGAGAAGGAACATCATTGGTTACTCTATCACATGCAGTTCAATCTTTTTTAAAAATATATATATTTTATTCATTTTTTACAGAGAGGAAGGGAGAGGGATAGAGAGTTAGAAACATCAATGAGAGAGAAACATTGATCAGCCACCTCCTGCACCCCCCCCCTCCACTGGGTATGTGCCCATAACCAAGGTACATGCCCTTGACCGGAACCAAACCTGGGACCCTTGAGTCCACAGGCCGATGCTCTATCCACTGAGGCAAACTGGTTTCATCTGTAGTCCAACCTTTTAACTGTGTTTTTATTTTACTCTGGGCGGCGGTGGTGGTGGTGGTGGGGTACCATACAAAGGAACTAAATCCCAGCGATATTAATCAACCTCAAAAATGAAACAAAACAGAGCCATTCTTCCCCCTCACAAACTTCTCAAAACCCACATATTACCGTCTATGACATAACACTTCCAAACTGAATCCAGTTCCCTCCCTGCCATGAGTAGCAGAAGCCTTTATTAAAAACAAGCTACCCATTCTCAATGGCACCGAATATGGATCCCTTTCTAGAAGGACAATCCCCGTCGGGCCCAGGAGCTCTGAGTGACACTTGTCAGCAGGAAGATTTCACTCCGTTAGGGGAGAAGCAACCCCTGGGCGCTGTCATTGCGGTGCCTCATTGTTTCCTCCGCCACCATCCATACATCACAACAGGTAGTTCTCAGCTGCTCCCTTGGTGCCAGACATACATTTTATCTAAAGAGACAGCAGACAGAACTACCTGCTGCTTCCTGTGCAGCTCTGCCTGTGTTTCTCTCCTCTTTCCTACTTCACTTGGGCTTTTAAAAACCAGCTGGCAGGGAGCCAGGATCTCATCATTTTAATGCAGTGCAAAATGGAATATGCATAATTATATGCAAGCCATATGTGAGGGAGACAGCTCAGCTGTGAATTTCAGGAGGCCAGGAAGGAGGGAACAGTTAGGGCTACGATGAGATGAGAGCAGAGCGGAGTGCAAGTGTCACCCAAATGAGTGATTTAATGAGTGTGCTGCAGCCACGCCTCCTTTCACCTACCTCTCCCTTCTCTTGGACTCCAAACCAGCACCCACCAGGGGGAGATTAGAAAGAGAAGACTGTATGCAAGCGGTGTTGCTGATGGGTTCTGTTCATGTCTCCATGTACACTTCAGCTTTCTTAATTAACAGCGTAGATCAAAATAACCAGTAACTTTTAATGCAGCTTCTTAATTAAATCCATTTTTTTACTGCATTTGATTGAAGAATCATTGTTCTTATGAGACCATTGCTCCTTTCGGATTTTTATTTAAAAATCAAGGGGAATCAGTTTATCTCTAATAGTATTACGATGCAAAATATAACTATGCCAATTGCTTTTCTTATGGCCTTGCTATCAGAATTTTTTTTTAAAGTGCATTATCTAGAGATTGCTTAAGCATGCCAAAAAAGTTTAAACACATATGTATGTCAGATAATCCTAAACGTACAATCAAAGTCAACGAAAGACTGTGAAGTGGTGGCAATTTCCAACAAAATTATTTTGTGTTGGTTTGCTTAGTATTTAAAAACGTTAAATAGTGCACCACAAGGAATTTGCATGTTCAAACAAAACTATGTAAAGAAAAATAAAGCCCAAATTTTGATATCAAAAAAGGCATACTGCGTGTTTAAACAAACTTCTTAATGATGTTGTTATTTCTGGATCCCGTTTGTTTAATGATCTGAGCTGTTATGCTTTTAGCTTTTTTTTTTTTTTCCTTCCATTATTTGTAAGTCCCTAAATAGGCCATTATATTTCCCTTCAGGCTAGAGATGAAGATGGACATGCTGAAAATTTCCCCCAGCAGCACTATGCTAAGGAAACTCCAAGGCTTGCCTTCAAGAATAACTGCGAACTACTTGTAAGAATAATATACTTACAACAAGTCTAGAATGTTACTTTAGCACAGTGAAAACAGTTTTTGAAAGGGTTTGTTCATTATTACATAATTTATGAAGTATTATAGTTTTTTTTTCTGTGTAGAGTTCTAAATGCTAATTCTGATATCACTGAATATTAATTATAAGATCTCAAGTTGTTTGCAAATCTTTTTATATCTGATTATAGAGCTTGGATGGCCCTGTCTTTTATTAGCTTGTTTTGTATAGCAGTTTATAAGCAGCCGTTTGGAGAATGGCTAGTAAAGTTAAAAATATAGAGAAATGCAGTTGATTACATGGAGCTTGGAAAAAAAACCAAAAACCAGTCCCACCCCCACCCTCCTCCTACTTCCTAATTGTACACTATTTTAGGAGACGACACGGTAATATTTTGTTCTGCGGGGAGAGATAGCGGGGTTGACATGCAGTACTCCCTCTAGCATTCAAGTATTCCTACAGCCTCTTGCCAAACTCAATCAGGCACTTTCGTCTCTCCTAAGCAGAAGTCAAAGCAGCGACAGGATGCGGGGATGTTTACAAGTCGTGAGAGAGAGAGGGTATCAGCTGTGACAGGGACTCCGTTCCAACGCAGGGTTAATTTGCTGTTCATTTTAGCATTTACAGCGAGAGACAAGATGAAAAGCAAGCAGGAATGCCTATTATATTTCTATTAAATGAATCTGTCGGGGCCTAATGTTTCTGATTAGCGTTTGAGAATGAGCACTCTGCAATGCGTTTTCTGTTTACCTAAAGTAAACAGAGAATGAATTGTCATTTATTTAGAGATGCGCATATTGCTTTGGAAAATGAAGCTTTATGAGGGATTGAACTATGCTGTCCCAAAAATGTTCTTTTCTTTTCAGTTGCATTGAAGCAACACATTTGCTCCCACTAAATGGAAACGCAGAGAGAGAGAGAGAGAGAGAGAGAGAGAACGAGGATGCCCGGTTGTTGCATTTCGAGGTAGTCTCTTATTCCTGTTCAGTTTTTTGGCAGAACACACTGCCGCTCTGCCAGGTCTCCGCATTAGGAAATCCCACATGGAACGGTGTTTGGACTCGGCTCTGATACCAAGTATTCATTAAACACAAAGTGTCCAAAGAGCAGGAGAAGAGAGGAAAACACAGTTTTTACCCAGGCCAGCCGCAGCAGTCAGATGCTGACAGCGAGACACTCCTTTCCCTGCCCCACCATCTGCGCGGCGACAATAGCACCCCTCATGCTTTGCATGGAGTCCCTGGACCAGCCACTCCGCAGGCACATTTGCTGCTTGTAAATGCAGTTTTTCCCCCTGAAAAGGGAGCTACCTTGTGTTTTATCTTAGGGCTCTTAAGCTCCCAGGCCTGCTAGCAGCATTACCTCTCTGGGAGAAACCCTTTACATATGGTTCTGTTTGAATGTCATCCGGCAGGAAACCAGAGGGGGCCATGGAGGCTGTGTTTTGGTGTCAGAATGTTTTGGGGAGTCACTTACTGCTTTTTGGATGCATTGTTACAAGTACTATGCCCTATTTGTTTTAGTTTTTTTTCTTTTTACTAGAAAAAATGAATGTGCCCGAGTCTCGGTGGTGGTCATTGTATACTAGAGGAAAAGCAAAACGTACATGTGAAGTGTCGTTCAGCTGTCTTTATGGGAAATATATGGTTAGCCCTTGCTGTGCTTAAGCACAACATTGTGTTGGCAGTAGTTTTGAGAGATTGGTACAATCTTAGCTCTCCTAAGCCACTGTTAGAAATGTTTTGTTTTGGTCAGCATATGATAAAAGAAAAAGGAGAAGAAGAAAAAAGGAAAAAACAAACAAATAAGTAAGTAAGTGTATGTCTCCAAGGATAAATCAGATTTTTTTTTTTTTTTTTTTTTTTAGCTGAAGAGAAGCAGTGGTTTTTGGCTGGTTAGGAGGCCCTGAGAAGCTTTGCTTCTATATGGAGGAGACCTGTTCGTTATTAAGAAAGAAATAGGAAGTCCTTGGAGTTTTCTTAGTGCAGCTCAGGGCAAATTCACGAGAGGAGATTGCAGGCTCGCTCCAAAGTGCTTTCTAAGCTTGAGGGTGGTTCTGCCGTCCTCACGGCAGCAAGAGCAGTGGGCAGTTTACAAAGTGGGAGGGACGAGTCCTGGGGGTGGCAATGGTTCTTAGGAAAAGCATTGAGGGCACAGGTGACTTCTAGGTGCCCAGGTGATCAGGAGCCCATGGGTGGAAGTCGAACCCTTTGCTCCAAATTTCAACACCAATGTTGGTCCTTTTACCATTATTGCCACATTCTTTTGGGACTAGGCCTTCTCATTTCCTCAATGAAAATGCTCATAACGATGGTGGGAGTTGGATGAAGAGTTAGAGAGGAGAACCTTCATCATATTATGAGCTCACACCTTCTCATCAGCCACTACTTTCTCAGTTCCAGAGAGCCAGCTGGGAGTAAGACCTGGCAGAGTCACAACATTAGCAGGGTCCTTGGAGGGAGAAGACTGTAGCTAGAAGAGAAATATTGAAAGGGTTTGGGGGAAGGAACTGAAGGCAACTGAGCCTATTCCCCAAGTGTTTAGGGCCAGTCCATAGAGCATCACTGCATTCAGAAAGAAGTTCCAACTATAGTCAAAGAACAGCATCAATGATGTGGTGTAATTTGATTGGAAAGAAAGCAGGTTCAGGAAGTCTGAAAGGGGAAGTAAGAGGAAGGAAACTCAGGGTGTGGGTGGAGTGGGGAGGAGAATCAGCCTGTCTTCCTCAGATTCAGATTCCCAAGACATTATCTAGACAAAGTCCGACTCTCTTGGCATTCTCTAAGGCTGTGAGGGAGGGGGTTCACAGAGGGAGAGGGAGGGACCCACAGCTGGGAGGTGAATAAAAATAGCACAGGGAAGAACTCTTTCTGGTCACTTACAGTGCCAGCAGAGGGAGAAGGTAACTATTTTAATTTCTTGGCCTTCTGGACATACTGGGAGATGTTGGGGAGGAGAGATGCTTAGGCAGTTCAAGGGGATGATTTCCATCTCATTTCCTGCAGGCAGATAGGTAGATGACAAGAACTGGACCAGTCCTTCTTCAGTGAACACAGATAGCTCTGTAGTAATACCGGGGGCAGTTAACAAGACATTATGGGGCATCTTCTGTGTATAAGGCACTACACCAGACCGTGCTTCTGGGAACACAAAATAGAAAAAGGCCCAGGCCCTGCCCTGAAGGAGCTCACAATTCAGTAGGAAGATGAGGCTCTACAGTCTTACAGTCATCAGGAACATGGACGCTCAGGTCTTTCTGAAAGTCAGAATTTTGTCCCAGCTAGACTTGACTTTACTCTACGTCACTCTGACAGGATGGCTTAAGGATCATGGGCACAAAGACTTAACATTTATGGCGCCACATCTGGCATCACATCACGTTGGATTTGTTTCACCCTTGGATTTCTCCGAGCTTCAGATCTTCACCTGTTCAATGTAATAATAAATGGTAGTAACCTCAGAGGTCGTTGTAAGGATTGAAAGTGATGGCATACTTCAAGTGCCTGGCACACCGTAACGTATTAGCTGCTATTATGATGATTCTTCTTATTCTCATGACTGTGATCATTACCCAGTAAGCTGTGCCCCAGGAGAGCACAGGCAAAGCTCTGGAGTCCACGGGAGGAAGAGATTACTTCCATATGCAGTAATAACAGACTTACCAAAGGGGATAGCTTTGATCTAGGCCTTACATGGGTTGGATTTTGATAGTCGGAGCAGGGGTATAAGGGGACAGGGGTTCCAGACAGAGGGAAATAGCATGGGGAAAGGCAAGGAGGTGGGAAAGTACAGGCCAGGTGACTCACACCTCACTTGGCATCTAGGTTGGCTGGAGGGTAGGATACTTGAAGGCTAAGTATCCTACAAGTATGGTGGTCCATTTGTAGGATACTTATGAATACAGTTGGCAGGTGGTCCATGTGCAGAGGTGTCAGTAACTGACCCCACGCTAGCAAGTCTGGACATAAGTAATTGTACTTCATGGAAACTCCTAGTACTTCTGTGGATTAAAAAAAAAATTATTATGGAATATGTCCAACATACACAAAAGTAGAATAGACAGTCATATGGTGAAGCCCATATACCTGTCATTCAGCTCCAACAATGATTAATTTTTATTGCTTCATCTATCCCTTTTCCCTCAACCCAACCTCCCTACCTCCTTTTATTCTGCTGGACTATTGCAAAGCCAAACTATTTGTTTGCTTGTTCTTCTGTAAACACTTTAGCACCCCACTTCCCTGTCTGGAAATAATTCATTGGGGGATTGGAGCTTTGGGACAATGTATACATAAAACAAAGTTGGTTACCCACTTTTCTTTTCCCTCCTGCTCAGCCCAACCTTGTAAGGCTGAGATAGTCAGATCCAGTTAAAAAAGCCCTTGTGTTGAAAAACATACCATGGTGCCAGTGAAGACTTGAGTCTTCTTCATGCTCAGGCCCCTGATTCTAAATGCATTTATTTAAAAACCAGAGGCCTAGTGCACGACATTCGTGCACTGGGTGTGTGTGGGGGGCTGGGGGGTCCCTCAGCCCAGACTGCTCCCTCTTGCAGTCCTGGACCCCTCAGGGGATAGCCAGCAGGCAGACATCCTCTGAGGAGTCCTTAGTGCTGCCAGGAGGTGGCAGAGACTCCCCCCCTGCCTCTGCATTGGCCAGTCCTAAGTTGGCTTCTGGCTGAGCAGTGCTCCCCCTGTGGGAGCGCACTGACCACCAGGGGGCAGCTCAGGCATTGAGCGTCTTTCCCCTGGTGGTCGTACGCAGGTTGGTCGATTTGCATATTAGCTTGTATTATACAGGGTAAGAGCAGCTGTTTTTGCAGCCCAGCCCAGCTCTCTGATGCAGCAATGAGGAGAAATTATGGCTCGCGGTCACACCCTAGCTGTTGTTAGAACTTTCCTGCTAGAGCACGGGGACATAATGGGAGCCTCCAAAAGGTGAGGGAAGCTGCCACATTTCACCCAAAACTTGATAAGCTTTTCAA